TTACCATACCTTTTTCTGTAGGAGCACAGATTCCTGCTTCCATAGCAGAAAGGCACAATTTTATCACCTGGTTTGACCCTCTCTCTATCACAGGCCATTTATGTTTCACCTAGCCGTTTTGATTGCTTCTTTAAACGTATTTTCTTCATCTTATCTCAAGCCTATTCCATTGGTTTAAATAATTTAACTTTGGAGACAGGGAGATTAAGAAATGGCCATCACAGCTGGTGTTCTTTAATTTGCTGAGCTGGATGTCCTGCCTGAATATCCCCAAACAGTAGTAGGTGAGCAGGGTCCCCAGCAGAAGATAATGTTAATGTATTATTCAAATGTTCATGTTTTATTCAGACCGTCATATTATTCCAAGTCTGAAAATTCCTAGTTAGCCTCTTCTAGCAGAATTCCTGTCTTATGAACTAGATGTAATTTAAACAATTTAGAGACAATTTATCCATCACTTAGGGTGATTTAAAAAGAACTCTACAGCTCTCTCTCAGCTTTTGTATGAACAGCATTTAATCCATGAGGACGTTTGTAAAGAAAAAATATTTTATGTTCAATAAACAAGACTTCATTTGTTTATCCTAGTTTCAAAGAACAATGACAGGAAAATCAGAACAATGTGCTCTTATTTACAGTGGAATTTTTATAAATCCTTTCTCTGCTAAGTCATATGTGACAGGATTTTTAGCTGTTTCACCAGCACTTGCAGAATGCAGTCTGCTCAGAACAGCGAGTGACTTTGCTCTAATTCAGTAAGCTCTTCAACTATAGAGCATTGACAACTGCCTTTGTGAAATCCAGTATGAATTGACTTGTGAAAGTCAATTAGAATTCAATGTTTGGTTAGAGATCCTTATGCACACAACATGCAGTCACCCAGTCAGTCAGATTCTCACAACATGAATGTCTGTAGATTTATTTTACCTGCAATTTGTTTGTTTACCCTTTCGGGGAGTGAAATCCTTACAGTGGTTAATCCATTGTCTTTCAGCACTAGAGGTGGCTTATTCACCCTCTGATGCCATTTTTTTATTAGCGTGCTGAATTCCTGCTTGCAGATAATGGTATCAAAATGCACAGTAAATCCATAGTAGCAGAAGCAGTCTAAACCCAGCTCAGTACTTTTATTTTCCTTCTTACTGAGCAATGAAGAATTGATTCCTCCACCCCTCATTACTGCCAGTCCTTTGAAATCAGCTCTCCCCAATCCACGCCAAAGTGGCTGGAGGCTTTGATGGGCACACTGCAATCACAACATGGCTGGCAGAGGTATTGTCTGTGCAAACATAAAGTGTACGGGGATTTTTGCCGTGTGATAAGTAGTTTACTGTCACAGTCTGGATCACAGAAAAAAAAAATAAGCTGACTATACAGATTTTCTTAGATGAGAAAAAAAAGAATGATTTCGTCATTTAATTATCACGAGAGTAGATTGCCTGACCCACTATTGACTTCTATGGCCACAGTGGTACTTCTGGCTGTACAACACAGCAAAATGCTTCCTAAATATAGGTTTTATTACCTTCAGTAATAAACCGAAGATGTTTTTGAAAAATCCATCTTTCAGCAATGTCCCAAACTCCTTGAATATAACTCATAATATAGTTTGAAATGCTGAATTAGATACTTTAATAAGATCTCAGCACAAGATATCTAGCTACAGAAATATGAATTATGTTCAGCTGATACAGAGTCTGATTTGATATAGCCTCTATTACTATGCAGATACTTTTCATTTCTATTGCGTTGATATTCTTGTCAATATCTCTCTTAATTTGCACTGTCACTCTTCACATAAAAAAGTTTTTCTTCTGTCTTTGATTTACCCCTACAAACTTTCTAATGGAACTTCAGGATGTTGAATTTTCCTTGTTTCTCCCCTATTTTCTCAGCGGATAACTTCAGCAAGTATAGACTCAAAAAGAAGCCAAGATTTCCATCTAACAGAAGCACAAATGACGAATACGACTGTCCGTTCTGCTTTTCTGTTATAGAGTAACAGAATGGCTGAAGCTGGCAGGGACTTCTGGGCCCATCTGGTCCAGCACTTGCTCAAGCAGGAATACCAAGAGTAGGGTGTGCTACACCATGCTTGAGTGACTTTTCAAGATATCCAAGGAGACTCAATGGCTTCTTTGAGCAACTTGTGCCTGTGCTCTGTTACTGACACAGTTAAGTGCTTCCTAATGTTTGAATGTTCCAATGTGTGCCCATTTCACCTTGTCCTGGTGTTGGGAACTAGTGAAAATAGTATGATTTGAACCTCTTTTCACCTTCCATTTAGGTAGTTATTGATAAGGCCTATCAGCTGTCATGGAAAACAGGAAGTATTCTGAAAAATGCAGCCTCACTTGGTAGTGCTACAGATAGATGTACACATTTCTGGTCAACATGTTGTTGCTCTCTGGGCAGCAATAGTGTGCTCTAACAGAAAAAAGAATTAAAAAAAAAAAAAAAAAAAGCATTTATTCACTTATCTGTCTAGAAGTGTCAGGTTTTTACTTTGACAATAGAAATCGATAAACCTGGTACAGGTTAAGAAGAAACGTGTGTTTATGTATCATGCTTGCAAATTATTGTGTCTCTGTTGTATCTACCTCTACCTTCAATAGAATGCAGTAGATAGATTTTGTGAAAGTAGTCAGTAATGTTTACCTAGCTGTGGCTGGCCAGTCCTGGGAGCCTTGACTGCATCCTGGTACAGAAAGCAAGCTGAGCAAACTGTAAAACTTGGCTGTTCTAATCTGGTGAGTAAAAGTTTTAATAGGTGTGGGCTTTAGTAGTTATAGATGCAGCTATCTGTTTGTTGAGGAGCTGGGGAACAGTGCTGAGTTAGTCTTGCCTGGGAGACAGTGCACTTCTGTGCCTGTCTGGGGCACTTGCAGTACAACCTGAGGCCATTCTGGTGCTGGTTGAAATAACTGCAGTGCAGTCCAAGCAGCCACAGGAGCTCAAAGCTGTAGCTGCTGCTGCGCTTTGCTGCGTATGGAAAGCAGAAGGTAGGAAAGTTAGTGATCTGTTGTGCTTGAATTTACTAGTTTTTAAGGTTATAGTAAATACTGTGTGTGCTGAGATGCAAATTTTAATTGCTTTTCTTCCCAAAAATATATAAAAATGCCATTAACTTGTGCCTGTTATATAATCTAACTCTCTAATTTACTGCAGTGGTTTTATACTGTCTCTTTATCATTACAGTGTCTAAGTGTAGTGGGAGAACTTCTATCTCACTTTTTGATGATGGAGCCATTGTCTGTAGCCTGGTGACAATTGGATCAGCTTCTCTTCTTGTATACAAATATATTTTTGTTTAGAAAGCTTCATCTTTTTTTTTTTTTTTTTTTTTTTTTTTTTTTGCACAAGGCATACTGCCTCTTTCTTGAAGCTGTATGTCTGTCTTGAATGCCTGTGGCTTAGACAGCAGTCCCTGATACAGCTGCAGCTCTCTTCCAGTGAGAGCGCTGGAGAGGGGACAGGAATGGCAATGAAGACGTGTAAGTTCTTCAAGGAAGTGAATCATGTTTTAGTCATGATAAGTAGTATGAAGGCACGCTGGTCAGGGTGGTGAACTGTTATGTGCAAGTCCTTGCAATTTTCCCTCAGTAGCTTACAGTCAAATATCATTCTTCTTATCTGTTTTTGAATCCTCTATCCTTGTTACATCCCTTCAGCATTTTTCCTATTGCCATTTTCCTTTTCTGATTTTCATATTAACGATCTTTCTGATGTTGCTTGTGTCTAGTTATTTAGAATCATAGAATGAGCTGGAGGGGATGTTTAAGATCTCCCTGCTGTGGGCAAGGATGCCTCTCACTAGATCAGGTTGTGTAAAGTCCCATGCAGCCTGGCTTTGAATGCTCCCAAGTAAGGGGCACTCACAACCTCACTGAGCAGCCTATTCCAGTGTCTCATCACACTTGCAGTAAAGATTCTCTTCCCAATACCTAGTCTAAATCTACCCTCTTCCAGTTTAAAACTGGAAATCTCATCCTGTTGCTACCTGCCCTTATAAAAAGCCCTTCCCCAGCTTTCCTGTAGGTTCCTTCAGGTATTGGAAAGCCTCTATTAGGTCTCCTTAGAGCCTTGTTTTCTCTAGGCTAAAGAGCCTCAGCTCTCTCACCCTGTCCTTGTAGGGGAGGTGCTCCAGCCTTCTGATCATCTTCATGACTCTTTTCTGGACCTGCTCCAGCAATTCTATGTCCTTCTTGTGTTGGAGACTCCAGAGCTGGATACAACACTCCAAGCAGAGCCGCAGGAAAGCAGAGTAAAGGGGCAGAATCACAACTCTCAACCTGCTTGTCACATTTCTCTTGATGCAACCCAGCATACAGTTTACCTTCTGGGGTGCAAGTGCACGTTGCCAGCTTATGTTGAGTCTTTCATCAACAAATACTCCCAAATCCTTCTCCTCAGGACTGCTCTCAAGCCTACCTCCATCCAACCTGTATCTGTATTTAGAAAAAGTGTAATATTTCTTCTTGTTGTTACACTTCTGAACTAAAATGTTCTCCAGGCATGTCAGGAGCCTACACAGCTGCCAGGGTTAGGGCGATGCCCACTTGTAAGTTAACAGCAGAGCCTCAGTTTAGGTGAATTTTTAGTGCCTGTGGAGGTGGAAATTCAACTGTTGTCTGACTGAGTGCTTGAGAATGTGTGCTGTAGAGGTATCATAGTAAAATGGTAGGTAGGGAAAAGAGTTTATAGATACATAGGCAGGTACGTGCAGATGAGTGTTTAGCTGATCTAGCTACTAGTAGAAATGTCAAAAGCTCCTACCTCTGTCGTGGCCTGTTATGTCTACACATTTGGCAGGTGTATGGGGCTGCTGAATTATGGCCTGAACCTCTGATTGATCACCTGAGGTGAGCAATGAGTCAGCCAAGGGAGCACAGGTGCAGGCAATTCATCTGTGCTGCCAGAAGGGGTGGAGCCTGGCTCTACCTCTCCTAGATCCATTTAAGAACTGACTGCCAGGGGGAAAGGATCTTTTCTGGAGAGCTGGAGTTTATTATGGGAGTCCTGGATAAGGTGAGTGTTCTCTTTTCCTTACTCTAGTATCTTAATTATCTCAGACAAACTCCTGGATGTACTGTGTTATGTGTATATTCACTGATTGTACAGCAGGTAAGTGCCCCTACCAGCAAACGTCCAAATAGCTGCAATGTTTAGTTCTTAGATGCTGATATGCGTCTTCAGAACAACCTTCAAATGTTAGCTTTCACTTTCCCAAGTTGCATTTGATGTTCTAATACTACAGCAGATAGGAATTGTCTCAATTAAAATTCATTCCTGTAGAACTTGTCTGTCTTTCTTTACCAAGCAAGTATGTTTCTATTCAGTCTGAATGAGCTGTTTTTAATGTTAAAGCTGGGAATACCTTGGGTTTAAAAAATATGTAGTGTATCTTTGAGGTTGAAATACGTATTCTTTTGTGAGTAAATGTCAGATCGAAGGGTTACATTCCTATTCTCTTGCAAAATGTTGCATTTCAGACAGCAGCTTAGTCCTATTTTCCAGTAAAGTGTCAAATTTTTCAAAAGTCTTATAGTTGTATGTATCTAATGTAGTATCCCCATAGTCTGTTTGAAAGCTGTCTCAAAAATATTCGTAAGTGATCTGGAATGTCATGGCCTGAACTGATGATTGAGCATATGGTGAAGGGGGTGGCTGGCTCAATAAGCACAGGTGCAAGCAATTCACCCCTACTTCCCATGTGACTGGAATGAACACCCTGGGCTTATTTAAGTGCTAGCCTCCAAAAGGAGATTATTTCTTGGGTGAAGGCTGCTTTCTGAGAAAGCGCATTCTGTAATCAGAAACCATATTGTTGGGTTGGTGAGTTATTTTTTTCTTATGTGTGATGATTGATGTTTCTAATGATAACTATGCCTGGCATCACAAAGTATTTATCAGAAGCAATTTCATTGCTCTTAGAGAGTAACAAAATCAAAGGGCAACTCGACTTCAAGAACACAAGTTCATGTGTTTGCTGCTTGTGGTTGAGCACAGAAGCCCAAAGATGCAGTAGTGGTTAATACATCTGGCACTCAGTCATGTATGCAAACTGTAAAATGGAGGCTTCCTACTTTCTGCTTGTTTAGTTTCTTTATTTGCTATTTGGGAGACAGAAGGGGGAAAAAAAGAAGAGGTTTGGTAAGGTTTACTTCATTGTAAGTCTCCTAAACTTGCTGCCCTTTGTGTATAAGCCTGCAGAATCCTAAATCACAATAACAGATGCCTTAAATGGGCACTGGTGGAGCAGGAAAAATTACACCTGACAGAGGTGGTTTCTGTTTTTTTTTTTTTTTTTTTTTTTTTTAAGTTTCTGATAGCCCAGGATTTTTTTTCTCCTTCTACCCAAGGACCATTCTCATTGTTTCTTTCATTTCTACTTTCAACTATCAGTTCTGTGATGAGCTTAAAAAAAAAAAAAACCCAAACTAATGATATCCAAACTGGATGGACATGACTAAAATTATATGTTAACAGGAAATGCATCTGCATGATTGCCCTTCTCTGAAGTAGAAAATTGTAGTGTGATTGCAATCATGTTTGGTGGTCAGTGTTGTTAGCATTAATGTAGCTACCTATGGAGTAAGCTGAGCTTTAAGTAAGATTTTCTGTGGTACTCCAAGAAAAAGAGAAGACAGTCTCCATAATATTTTGCTATAGCAGTTTCACATGGTATTGGTGACATGCAGCAGGGATTTTTTTTTCCTTGGGATGATACCTTTAAAGTTTGTAACTAGAAAGCTGCTCTGTATTACTGCCTGTTTCATTTTCCCTGTAAAATTAAAAAAAAAAAAAAATTAAAAAAACTACTCTCTTCCTGTTATTTTTACTTAAATACTTACATTTGTATCTTTCCTCTAAATATGCAGTGTTAAGTGATGCTATTTAGATCTTAGCTGTTCTAGGTCTGCAGTGAAGATACCTAGATGTTACAGTACCTTTATATAAGTGAGAATACATTTGGATGATGCTCTTGAGAACAAGGAGAGTGTTTTTCTTTTGGGTAAGCATAGCTAAAATTACTTGCACTGTTCGTTCTCTATCGTTAAACCAGCTCATCTAAATCTCTGCTCAGGAAGGCTGTTGCTCGTAGGCTGATAGTGTGACAGTGCAAGAACATTGACTGGCTTTCAGAGTTCTATTTTTTAAAATTTATTACTGAAGTCCCTGAGATGTGTAGTTTTTGTTCTTGTGATGGAAGACACTGGAGGTTGCTGGATACCTTTTTAAATTATGTTCTTCAGTATTGCACTTTAGTGAGTTAGTATTGTTGAAAGTAGCAGTAAAATATGAAATAAAACATAAATAAACATGAGAGACAAATGGAAAAACAACTTGAGTGTGAACCTGGTAACTTATACTTAAATATACTTTTTTTCTGATTGATCATGAAAGTATTTTCAAATATTATGTATACAAAATTGATCTGGGATTAAAAACAAACAAAGAATTTCAAACTTTCAGTGGCACAACTGTAAAAATGAACTCTTATGTTGTGAACCTGAATAAACTATTACATAATTCTTGCAATGGCCGTGAAATGGTTAATAAAGATGCAAGGAAAACAAAAGTCTAACATTAAGTAGGTGTTTCTGCCTAGCTTTTTAGTTTGGTTTCCAAATCATTCCATGTTGGTAAATCTCAGGATCTTTCTCATGAATATGATTGATTTTTATTTTGTTTTTTTGTCTTCAGATCATTGGAGATATTGAGAGCTTATAGTAAGTTTATAGTCACAGCTTACAAACTTGAGTTTATGAATTGTCATTTTTAAAGAATTCAAGTAGGCATAGGTGAATGTTCAGTCTGGTCTTTGGCAGGCTCCTGTTCTTGAAAGACTGACAGCTCTTAACACCCAGCATTTCCTCTCAAAGGCGTTAGAGGAGATTAAGGAACTAGCTATGGGTCTGGCAAGCTGTTTTCCTGGGTGTCATATCTGGCATTCTTTTTCCTTCTGGTCTTAACAGTAACCAGACCAATGACTTATAATTATTTTTGTTTTGGTTTGGTTTTTGGATTTATGGCCAGTTGCACTGACAGATGGCTGTGACTGCACTGTAGTACCCTCAGTTCTTGCCAAGCTCAGCTTTATGGAGTCTGGGCATACATAAATCTGCTGAGCATTGAAAGAAGTATTAATGTGGAAAGAAAATGATCAGGATTTTAAGTGAGATATATCACGATATTAAAGTGTTGAAGATAGTACTCTGAAGTCAAATATAGCATTCATCATTTAACTAGATGCAGGAGAATGTATTCTACTTCTATATGAAAGCTTTGGGATTCAATGAATTTGAATAAATTAAAGGGAAATCTATTCTGGGGTGATGTTATCATATTGAATTGCCTAGTATGCATTCTGCAGCAGATAATAGGTGATGCTGACTGATAATTCTAGTAAAAGTTCCTAGATTCAAGCACTTGTGGAAATCATGGTTCTATCTGCTAATCAGGGAAAGGTTGTGTTTAAGTATAAGCAAACTGTCTTTACAAGGGAATTAGGGTAATTTGCTGTAGAAGCTTTTTTTTTGTCACTAAAGTAAGCAGACTTTCTAAAATCTTGTAATTTAGCTGCAACTGAAATTGGGAAGAGCAGAGATTGAAATCCATTTATATACAAGGCTTATTTGTAGCAAGGCACATCATCTCGGGGCATGATATTAAAACTGCTTTTAAAAATCTAAGTTTTGTACATATTTTTTTTGGTTTATAGTTTTTAATCTAAAACTTGATAATAAAGCTCTGAATTGAACTGTTATGTTAGCTGCCTCAATAAGGTTGTGTCTGGAAGTTTTTACTTATCAGAGAAAGGAGGGGGAAATATTCCCAGTGACCTCTATATCTTTCTGAACAAAGATTTCTTTACTACTATTTAGCTGGATTGTTACAGATGACCAAGTGTAGCTATTTAAAGGGAGGTCTATGAAGCTCAATGTATAAATCTCCTAAAAAAAATATTATTGTCACCATTTCAAGGGAAAGGAATTTTAATTCTGTTACTGTTCTGATACTGTTCACTTTTGAGTTGAATGCTGAGCTTAGTTGCTATTAAGCTTGTTCTTTAAATAGATTATATTTCCTTTCCAATAAATGATCAATATTATTTGATAGCAGTTGCTCCTTTCACTGTTAATTTGAATTTGTTTCCGTTTGAACTGACTGTATTCAAGAATCTTTCAAATGTTTTTGGTTTATCAGACCTGTGCTTTGCAACATTGGTCTAGAGACTTTCATTTTAGGGAATAGGTATTCCTATTCACTTCAGTATATTGCTCTTTTTTGAAAGATATCACTATATAAGGAATTGTTTTAGAATAGAATGGGTGGGAGGAATGAATTTGAATGAGTTTACTTGCAAGTTCTATGTAGGCACCTGCTTGAGCATTTCACTGGATAGGAATTTGAAGGTATAGAAACAGTCAGTAGATTACTCTCACTCATAGTGCTTGTAGTTCTGAAAAATTCTTCCTTGATTTAACTGTCACAAATGCTACAGAGAAAACTTGCTTTGTTTTGACCAGTGTTTCCCTACTGTATTCAACTGCAAAACTGAGAGAGAAGGGATCTGCCATTTCTAAAGACAGTACTAGCGTATTATGATTCTAATTTTGTCTGCTACCAACTGTGAAAGTGTAGAGCAATTACATTCCTAACTGTTTCTGTCGTTCCTGTTTCCTTTCTCTGGCACAATTTGTATTTTTTACTATATTTCATGAAGTTCCTGTATTTTGTAGGAGCACTGTAGGAATCTGCTTTTCCTTGAAATTGCCTAGTAGTAAAGATTTTTAATGTATTAGACTCCAAGCACTGTGCTACAGCAACATGCTCGTGCTTGTCTTGAAATCAGCAAGAATGCCTATTTGGTTACTGTGGGCATAATGCGCCTCTCATGGAAGCCTTTGCCTCAATATTGCATGTTGAGATTTTACTTCTTGTACAAGTTAATCACAGAAGTGTAGGAAAAGAATTGACAAAAATAAATGAGTAAGCAAACCCAAAAACCTGTGTAGGAGGAGAGGTAGGAAACCTCTCCTTTTTTTTCAGATATGGCAGAGTTGTGCAGCCTTATTCAGTTCTCTAAGTAATGAGTTACCATAGGAAGGAAAATGATGGGCTGCTGGAAAAAGGAAATGGAGGAACAGCAGACTCCACCTCAGCTTTACCATGGCATCAGCTGCTAGATTTAGATTTAATGGTTATAGCACAGGCAACCTCTAGTAGAATGAAATATTTGTCTTATGATTCTTTCAGGTAAACTCTGTTTAACCTTATCAGGCAATTTAAGCGGATTGTAAGAAGCCTGTTCCTAGAATGTTTTCTCATGTGTTTATTTTGTTTCTCCCCTTCCCTTTCCAGGTTTTAACTGATAGAATCTCAATTCAACTGAGAAGAATACAAAGGAACTGCTCCTTCATATACAGTAAGAAAAAAGTTCCTTCTCTAAACTATATATACATCTGAATTGTGGCAGATTGAGGGCTACTTTCTACTGCTGACAATGTTAAGGGTGTGAGTTGCTCCTTTTATCTTCAGTAAAGCTTATGAATAGTCTATTCTTTGAGGGAGCTACATTTGGTGAATGTTACAGATAAATGACAAAGTACTTCAAATTGAACTTGTAAGGCTTAAGTTGTCGAGTCTGTGTTGTTCTGATATGTTGTGTTTTTCTTTTAGCTTTTGTTATCTTTCTTTAGTTAAGCTAGTTATTATGAATTAGCATCATGACCAATGTGTTTAACTCTGCATTTGGACCATGAGTGTCATAGTGATCTTCGCAATGGCGGTTGAAGCTTGAAGCTTTTAGATCTGATTTATAAACTAAGAACTGGGCTACCTGTAATCTTTTCCTTGTTTTCTTCTGATATGTGAATCATACTGAAGAAAAAAGTTTTCACAAAAGATGAAAATAAGTGAAATGCTGAACAAGACAAGATGATAAAATACAGTAATTAGTGTTTTATTGGGAGCAAATGCTAATTTGAAAAGGCCAGGTGGCACAGGTGTGGTTTGATACAATGAGTCCTTGCTTGTGGCTTCTAGACTGTTGGTAGTGAGAGCAGGGTAAGTAGCATTGCCAATAGATACTATTTGTCAGTAAGTCTAAAATGTAACACTATAAAAAGAACTCTGAATGAAGTAGCTCCTTATCCTTGTCATCGTGCTTATGGTTTTCTGACTTTGCAGGAAATAAACACCTTGAGGTAAGTGGAAGGTACTTAGAACGTGTATCTTACAGATAGCTTAGGAGGTAATCCTTTACGAATCGGGACACAGAGATCACTAATGCTGAGAATTATTCTGTTCCTCTGTAGATTTTTTTCGTAACAGCTCTCTGAAGAGAAATGTTAATGAATTATTAATTTTGGAAAGCAGTGCATCCTGACCTCTTCCTTCTTATCTTCTTCTGTATTGCCCTCATACAAAGACATCTGACTGCAATCTGTTGGCTGTGTTTATTAGTAACGACTTTTCTTGCTTCGTGCTGCTCTACCTCTCAGTGTTGTCAAGTCTGAAAAGTGCTTTCAGTTGCTTATACGCTGCTTCAGATTGTTTTCCTGGACTCTGTAGCCTTGATTATCTTGGGTTATCCTTGAGCTTTATCAGGTCAGTGCTAGCTAAGAACTAGTTTTGTCTACTTTTAAATTATCATTTTAAAATGCAGTATTTCCTTTTGTCAGCTAATTAACATATCATGGTGGTCTGATTTGTAAAATGAAGACAGCGTTTTTTGTCACATCCTTTCCTTGCCTAGCATGCCATATTTATTTCAAATGTATTCAGCAATATCTTTGTTTTCGTATTTTGGAGATTTGGTTTAATTTAGCTTAAGAATCTAACATAAATTAAGCACTTAAATATTTATCATAGGAATTTATCAAATTTATGTGTGTTGAGATAAGGAATAGTTAACCTTGGAACAATAAATTATTTCCTAATAGCAATGATATTTGCTGTTGGCATCTTATATGTCTTGACGTGGAAGAGGTGGGGAAACTGGACTCTTAAAAGAAATCCTGAAAGAAAGAGTAAGGAAAATATTTAAGATGTATGCTACCATACTAGCTTCACTTGGTATCTATCACAAGTTGTTTTTAGGCATTTGCCCTAATAAATAATTAATGAATGAATGCACAGCACAACAGAGCTACCTAGTGTGAAGTGCTGCCATTTCTTTCACAGGTATACTTATTGACCACTACTAGTCAGTATTATCAATTGAACCACTTCTTCCTTCTTCCGCTGTCTGAATCTGTTGTTACTGACCTAGTTAACACAATATTTCTGGCCAAAACAGCTGACTAGTGGTGCTCATAGAAACTAGTTTAACCTTCAGTTAAGCCTGGAAAGCTGAAAGACTAGACCAACTGGTATATACAGGATTTGTGTTTATGGCGTAGCTTTGTTTAGCTGCATGAAGGAGACCTGTTCCTAGGCCAAAAACTCTCTGGAGTGCTTGTGTGGCAGAGGATTATCCATCTTTAATATCTCTGATTGCACAGGGGTGTGGAACAGACATTTTGCAAGCAGATAGGAATGGATGAAGTGGCAAAAACTTCAGGTTTCTAAAGGGCTTCTATTACATCAAACTGGATACCTCTACTGTTTTTCCCGAACTCTCAGAAAGGAAAGTGATGCATCTCCAACATGACATTTTTACATTTAGATGTAAAAGGTCATTTATCTCTCTTCTCTCAGCAAGTGAAAATTTATTCACATGTCAAATCTTTCATGTCAGAAGAATCCAGATTGTGGACTCAAAAGCTTTTCATGTCATGTTTCTAATTAGGTCTGTGACTCAATCTCATGAATAATATATCAAGCTGCATATTAACATCTAATCCAGCTAGATCATCAATTTACAGTAAACCTTGGCTGCAGGAACTTTAATAAAAAGTCAGGGGCTGCAACATTTTTTTTTCCAACAGCTGTTGAAACTTCTGTAGAGTCTCTGGGCACTAAACTTGCAAAGCAAGTGATTAAATTCGTGTTGCAGTATTTGGATGTGAGTGAATTTAATTGAAATCATAACAGTAGATTCTGGAAAAGGCTTTTACGGTCAGAACGAAAATAGTTCCCTTAGCTTAAGCAGAGATGGTTTTCTTTTGCAACCTTGGGAGGACACAGCACAGATTCAGATGCAAGCCGCATGTGTGGTTAGAATAGATTGCATTACCAACTAAAAGTTTGGACTGGAAATGGAATTACTTGTCATTTGACCACAGTGGGTCCAGATACAGTTGAGAATATTCAGGGGGGAGGGAGGGGGCTGACCCAAGTTTGCTTATCGGTGGGACTGTTGGATATGTTGTGGTGTTTTGTTTGAGATCATGTTGACAGTTATTGTCAAATAACTTCAATCTGTCATGCGATGTTCATCACCAATTAGTCATTTGACAGCTATAATTTTTCAGTGCTCTGGATCACTGTTGTAACTGTAAATTATAATTGATCATTTTTAAAACGCTGTCTTTTCCCCACCGTTGTTTTCCATCACTTAGTTCATGATGGGTTGTTGGCTCTATGTGCTCCCTCCCTGCTTTATCTTACAGACAGGGTGATGTGTTTCTGCCACTCCCTCCTTTCTGTCTTTTCTCTGCTGCTTTCATTCCTTTTCTGTACTGAGCTTTGGTGGCTACTGTGTGTTTGTGCCTCAGAGGAGGGTAAGAAGAATGGAGCTGAACATTTTCTCATCTGAGCTTAGTTTTTCAGTCTTTCCAACTGTTGTTCCATTGCCACATCTGTTGACTTTCACACAGTCAGAGCCTTTGAAAAGAATACAGCTTAGCTGTAGCTTCTGACAGACCATATCAGAATAATCAGCTTTGAAATGGCAGATACCGTGTGCTCGAGTCTGTGCGTACACACGCTCTTGCATACGTGTTGCTTCTGAGGTTGTGGTCCACTCTATTATAAAATACTGCAGGTCTGCTACAGTGAGAACATTTGTGATGTATCCGTGAAGTGTGGGGGATTTGATCTTAGCATGTAGGTCATTCAACTAAATATAGACAGATTAACAGAGGAGATCTGATTGTGCACATGCAAATGTTGCTGATTAGCATCTCGTATTGGAGTGTGAGATGTTAATTTTGTTTTTGTTTCAGACAAGCAAATTGGCTTCTGTATCTGACCAGTATATTGTGAGTGTAAGTAGTGAGTAATTTGTAAATGGACAGTTAGCAAAAGGTAATGGGAAACTGTGGACAATATTTCAAAGATGACTTGGGAAACTAGGTTGATGTAATTTTCAAAAAGCAAAATATTCTTATGGAAAGCAGTGAATGTGCTATCTGCTATGATTTATTGTCTGTCAAAATGTGTATGATATTTAAAGGCATCAATATATGGCCCTGGTGGTGCTAGACCATGACTGAAGACTGTAACAGCTTTTGAGCATCCCTTAGGCTTTTTTTAATTTACATCAACAGAGAGCACAAACTCAGCTTTCAAATAGAGTACACAGTT